TATAACAATATACCAACAAATGGAAATCAATTAAAAATTCTATTCTATCCCAAATAGGTTACAAATGAATCACAATGTATCGCGCTTTGTAGCCTTTTAATATCCAGTTGTTATTCATTCATGTTTCTTCGATTTCTTAAAACAAATTAGCACTGTCACGTGTTAACCCTTTTGTGCGCATTTATTGCTTTACAAGCGTCTTTGACAGCCGATAACCCTACGCCGCCGAAGGCCGGAATGACCGAAATAAACTCTTGCGCAACGAGCCGACAAAAGTGAAAATAAGCAGTAAAAGTTGCACGGGACGGGTTATGATAAGTTTTTGTTTTGTGAAATTTTAGAACCAACAGGTAGTCAGCTAAAAACGCTTTGAACACAAACAGAATCTAATTGTTTTGTAAGAAAGGGTTGAAATTATCATTAGTAATTTGTACCTGGAGAAACTTTTTTTCCTGGGGATGATTTTTAGAAGAATTTTGTAAAACACAAACTACAATATTAAGTGCACAATTTTTTGGTTTAATCCATCTTCCTGTTTGTTACCTTTTTGATAAAACTGATGAAATTCTATTAATGAAAATTAAGATTGATTATATCACGAGGACGAATCTTAAAAAATAATCTCGAAAGGGGTGAAGTAGGATAGAGATGAAAGTCTGCAGACGCGCTTTGTGTACCTATATGGTATATATACAGATTCTCCATATCACACTTTTCAAGATGATTTCCTGTAACACAGATTTTGTTCTAATATTTATTTAATGATACGGACTGTTTTCATTTATGGCCGTCACATTTATTATATGACGTCATACATCACACGCCATTACGTCACATCTCATGTTTACCAGTAATTAAACCAAAATAACTTATTTGTATTTGATAAATGCAAAAAAAATATATGGACTAACGAGACTAATGTTGATAATAAAGTCTTTATAAATTGCAGCTAAGAACCATCACTTTAGATTTTAATTAAAGAATATATTAAAATGATTTCAATCGTCTGAAAGTTACGATGGCGAGGGTGTTATATATCGAATGTTTTTTTTCTTTAGAAAATCTATTTATATATTACTTCCTCCATTAACTTCACTGTCGATTGAACTAGGTTTTAGTTAGGCATACGTGCTACTCATTCTTCGTCGGGCCTGATCTATGAAATGGTTTCAATTGTATGGATTAGATTTGTAAACATTTGTACTACTTACTACTGATTTGTAAATATCACCGAAATAAGGCAACGAAATGTTTCTTTATTTCGGTGATGTTATTTATAAATTCATTACAGTTTATTAAATTGACAAGACATATAACTGGGATTATTTTTGTTTCTAAACTAAGTTAATAATGCAATAGGAAAATATATTTTCATTAACAGATTTCATATATTGTTATGGAAAGTCACATAAGCGAGTATATTATTAGTAAATCTATTTTGAACTAAAATGAGGGGCAAATCACACACCAGTACGAAACCGGGGCGAGTAACTAGTGTAAAATAAAAAGGCTATAATTTTTAAATACTTATTTTATTAACTCTGAAACTAACAGATGATATATAAGTGTCCTATCTAGATTCGAGTAATATGACATTAATATGTATTTATGGCTACAAGAATTAATTTAGCATATATCATATACATTTTATATATAATTGATTCTAGCAAGCGTATAGGTGGATGACTTTTAAACAATAAACTTACATATAAAACATTATATACAATTTTATTACTATAGATTTAAACATAAAATTTCAGTTAAATTCATGTGGCCAGCATCTATTATATTTAATATAGGTACTTAACTAAATAAAATTATTTAAAATATTAAATGTACTGATTTAAAAAAAAATATTGCATATGTAGATAGGTATGTTATTGTATCATGTATATATGTATACTCAAATAATATAGATACTTTTTTTAGTTATATACATTAACATACATCATTAGTTTGTTAGTAGGTATATCCTCAACATATATATCTCGGTATATATCCTGGCTTTTTGTGCAACATACAAACATTAGTATTATTATTACACATAGATTCCCTTTTATTATAAACATCTAAAGTGATTCTAGAACGAAAAAAGTTTCAATATTAATATAACTTAAAATAAGTAGGTAATACCTATAAACTAGAGAAATTATAAAATTGAGAAAAATATCAAATATATACGTTAAGCAAGAACCTCATTACAACTCTAATTGACAATTTTAATTTAGATTTTGAAAATTGATTTTAATTTACGTAAATAAAATCGGCGTCATATTGGTTGTCCTTACATACATGTTGGCGCAGTGCCAATCACTACAGTACTAAGTGGTATTGATAAAGTTGTGAGCGTCAAGGTTTTTACTAAATACGAGTAACTCAAGGCGAAACATACATTGAAAAATGGCACATTTATGTATTTAACTTAGATATTAAATGTATAGTAAATAAATAAGTTTTTTAATCTGTTCGTTCTTAACGCATGTAGGTACAGAATTCGGATATCTAGTATATACCTAGTGAATATAAAAGGTTTTTAGTATAGGTATTATACTTAAAAGAATGATCAAATATATTAGTTGAGTTACTCTAAAAATAACCAAACTTTAGTAGTAAACAACAATTTCTTGAGTGTATTTTTTAAATTCAGCTAAACAAACAGCCAAACTATTTTAGTTACTGGTACAAATAGTTTGTTCATCGCTATTTTTAAGTAAATAATAATCAATGTTTTAGTATTTAGGTACTACTAAAGTTTGGTAAACTAAGTACTTTTTGTAAACTCTTTTTAATGTAATTATAGTCGATTAAAATTGTTTTCAGAAAATTGAATAATAAATATGACAAATAATAAATTATCAAATATAATATTACTATCTTGTTTGCAATTTACTTTTCAGTATACTTAGGTGATAATAATTGTCTCAATTTACGAAGTACTTTGGTGTCTATTAATTTACCAGTAAATTTAAGTTTTATATGTGTGTTTTATTATAATAATAATAACCAAGACGCAATTACCAGACTTAGGTTAAATGTAAGTAAAAACAGGTTTGCGCTATCTAGTTCTGGTTCATTAAATATAGAAACGCAAAAATATTGCTCTTAAGTGAGAAACGTATTTTTTTTTATATCATGTAATTAATACGCATCTCAATTAGATCTAATTAAGCATATTGTGCTACTTATGTTATTAATATAACGAATTTAATAATGAAACAAGAAAAAGATCTGCAGCTAGTGAATAAATAGAATAGTATATTTGTTTAGTGGTTTTGTTTATTGTAATATTTGAATTTAGTATAATAATTGAGCATATTTTTAATGTTTTATTGGTATTATATATAAAATTTTGTATATTTTATATTTAAAAATGAGACTACGACGACCACTACAACTTTTATACCTATGTTACAGAATATCAATATGATTCCATAGTATAAAATAAAATTAAACAATTCTTAAATCTGTTATTTATAAAGCTAGCCTATACGCTTGAAGAACACTCAGTTCTTTATTTATTTGCTAAATTGACGCTTGCATATAAATATATATTGGAATGGAATGTGCAGAAGCATAGATAGGAACCTATCTTACACCAAACACCATTATTTAGAAGTCATTACACAGGTTGTCCAGAAAACAATAGACAGAAAAAATAAAGCATAATATGTTCAAAATTAAGAATATTGTTTCTCTCCATTACTCGCCGATACTTTTCTAATAATCTTTTCTAAAAACGTAATACAAATAAACTTGAAAAAAATCTTCGAGAGGTTAATATTCATGTCATTTTTTTATGGACACGCTGTATACACCTTACTGACTATATATACAAAACTTAACTAAACTCCTAAATGCGATGGTCGATGACAGAACTATAATTCCTTTCGCCTATCTAACTATATAATATATTTTTACACATTTTACACAAGACATTGCACAGTTCAACGGTCCACGATATGACGTCACTTCGTAAGTATATTAGTTTGTGTGTCAAATATAGTCATAATAGCTGAAGAAGCTTAAATATTGTCTTAAATAATTTATTATTATTAATTACTGAAATCATTTAAAAAATTTTCGAGCAATAATAAATTTATTCACTTTAAAAATGCAACAATGAATAGGTACTTTAAAATATAAATAACACATGAACTGATTTTCTATAATTTTGGGTGAACATTTTGGGTAAAATTTAGTTAATTTCCCTAATAATTTATTTATATAAGAATTAATTTTGTAGATAATATAACCAACAAGCGAAATAATTGAGTAGTTAACATTAGATACTAAATTATTTCAATTTCAACTAAATTACCTAGCATTTCGATTTCGACTTTTCTTTATATACTTATAAACTGGTTTTGTTTAAAAGGATATTTCGTATTGATTTCACAAATTTAAAGATTGCATTAAAGAATTGCATTGATGAAACAATATATTTATACGTCGTAATAAACTTCTGTTTGCAAAAAATCTTGGGGTAAGTATATTATTGTTTATAACTACGAATATAGGGGTAATACGTATTAAAAATTGGTTTGCAATAATAGTAAACAATTAATAAAAATAAGCTATTTATTTTTATAAGGTATTGAAATAATTTACTTCTGATATTCATGGAAAATTTCTCAAATTCTTACAAATCAGACGATAAATTAGTATATGTGAAATCCTTCTCAGTTTTTTTTTATTTGTACTTACATATCCGTCTTTACATTTTAAATTTCACGGGTTAAGTAACAGAATCAAAATCATTATGTTTAGGTATAGGTTTCGTGAAGTTTTCATTTTAACTTTGGTCAAAAGAGTTCAACGCGCGCATTTAACAAATAAATACTTTGTTTATCTGAATCTAATGCGTAGATAAACGCACCGATAACAGTCAATATCTATCGATCGCATTGTACTTGCAAATTATCACACGTTATGTCACGTTTGTTATAGTTTGTTTTGGGCGCGAAAATATTTTACTCGATGTTACACGATGTTTACTATATATCAAAACTACTTATTAATCAAAGTTTTGAAGCTTTTATAGCTATTATAACTAATATCGACACACAAACATATCGAATCGAAGGACTAAAGGACACTTTCGCAAAAGTTCCACATACGACATAGGCGTATTTGACGCGTCCGGCCGAGGGCGAGCCGCGTCCATCGTGCACTTAAACATCTATCTACTAAAACGCACACATGGACTCATTTGAAAATTACCGCAGATATTTACAAATGTACACGAAACCTTCCGGACGAACGGCAACCCTACTAGAATATCACCAAAAAACAAAACGCTCACTCAGAGTCCAATATCAACATGAGATTAGGGGAGAGTGCGCCCGAGCCTGCTGGACCTACTTACGTCGGCGGCTAGGGCGCGGCGGGGACGTCTTGCGGCGCGGTCCACACGGGCGCGCGGCGCGGCGCCTACGCCAGGGGGTATTGTCACAACGGCGGCTGCGCGTGCGCGTGGTGGTGATGGTACAGCGGCGACTGGTAGTAGTTCTCCGCCGGCGTGTGGCCGTATCCATAGTTCACGTCGTACATCTTCAGGTCTGTCTTCGTATCAGCGCCGGGCAGCAGCCGCGTGATACTGAACGGGTGCGGTGCCGGTGCGTACCCCTGTGGCTCCTGCTTCAATTGAGCATAGTGCTCCAGTGCAAGCGGCGTATGTTCGGGCAGGCACAAGTCTGGAGCTGCGTGCAGTTGCGCTAAGATGTCGTCACGCATCTCCTTGTCTTCCCCAGTTCCTCCGCCGCCGCCTGAAGTCTTCTCGTGTGTATGCTCACCTCGCTTTTCATGTGAGCCCCCGTGGTGACCGTGGCCGTGCGCCGCTTTCTGTGCTTGTCTAATAGACTCCTTCTTTTCATCTTTAAATCTTTTTTGGCGTCTTAAGAAACACCCATTCTCGAACATGTTACCACTATCGGGATGCAGTGTCCAGAAAGAACCTTTCCCCGGCTTGTCGGGTGTCCGCGGCACTTTCACGAAGCAATCGTTGAACGACAGCGAATGTCGTATCGAGTTCTGCCAGCGCTGCTGGTTTTGTCTGTAGAACGGGAACAGATCCATGATGAACTGATATATTTCCGAAAGCGTGAGCATGCGCGACGGGTTATTCTGAATGGCCATTGTGATAAGCGATATGTAAGAATATGGTGGTTTTGCGTGCGTATAAGACCGACGGTAGGTTTTGTCGTTGCGGGCGCGCTGCAGTGCCGAAGTAGGAGATGCAGCCTCCTGCTCGCGTGGTAACGATCCGTAGGGCACAGCTCCGCCGCCGCCCATGCAGGACGCCATCGTGCTGGGCGGCGAGTACCCGACGCCCGGAGAGCCCATGCACGAGCCGCCGGCCACCATGTTGTTGGAGTAGAGATTCGGATAGGGCTGCGTTGGCATGCATCCCATGCCATTGACGTAGTGTGGCGCGAGACCGGGAGACAACGAGGACAGCGACGCAGACGTCGGCACGTCGCCGTACGAGAGCTTCTGCGAGATCATGGCTAGCGCATCACCCGCGCGTGCACGCCGGCCAGGGGCAAACACTCGCACTGATTGAAAGAGTAAATAGAAGCCGGGGGCCCGTGCGCCCCACCACCTCGCCGCCTATTGGCAGGCGGCGGGGCGGAGTCGGCCCGGGCCCGCCCCGGGTCCGCTGCGCGCGCACCGGTCGCGCCAGTCCCCGCGAGCCTTCGTACCCCGCGCGCCCTCCCCGCCCCGCGCCGCCCCCCTCGCGCGCGCCCAGCCTCGCGTCGCTCGCTCCTTTCCAACGCTAATAATACCGCAGCTCGGAACGATAAAAACATGGAATAATCATAAGTGCGTTAGCTTGAATGTGTGCTTGTGTAGAGCGTCGAATTTCGTCTGTCTCGGGTTTACGTAAAAAGGTTATATCGAATATCGTGATCGCTAGAGATTTCAATCTTATTTTGAAATGTTAGACGAGTAGGTACTCGTGATGTAAGTACTACTATAGGTTACGTAGAACTTAGTAAGTGAATACACTTATTATTACTAACGCATCAAAAATAATTATTGAATATGTATACCTACAGACTATTAATAGTGATTAGTAATACTTAATGATGCGTTTAAAATTCGTCTCTCTGCGTTTAAAAACTGAAAACATTATTTCTCACTGAAGTGTTCAAAAGTAAGACGTGAATTATTCTAAGTAGGTATTTAAAAGTTTATTCCATATTTACAAGATCCAATAATCCACTAAACAATCACTAAATTGAAAAAGATGTTACTACTCCAGGTAGAGCTTATCCTACATAAATATTTACAGATTTTTATTCGTGTTGTAATGAATATTTAATTTAAAGTAGGTACGTGTACAGTAAGACCACATATTCCTATTTTATTCGGTTGTAATAAATAATGATCAAATTTATAACGATAAATATTTATTTTTAATTTTTTACAATCAACGGCTCTACTTTCTCTACATATCTACCAACTTACTAGAAAATTTTGTTTTTAATCTCATTTTAATTTGTATGGTCTGCTCTATTTATCTATAATTTAGGTAGATAGAAATATTATTTCGGAATGTTAGAAATTATATGATTTTATTATTTAATTTAAATATAACATCTAGTATCATCAGTATATATTAAATTATGTAATAACTCCCAACTGAATTGCTACCTTCAAGCAAAACATATTGTTAAGAATTAGGTACCTAACTCATTTTCTTATGTCGTTTAATAACTGTCACCTAGACATTATTATCACGTTAGATATATCAAATGGTAACTTAGCATTGAATTATTTGTTTGTTTGGGTTATGCTTTATCAGATTACCCAATATCTAAGTTTTATCTGAGTCGATATTTATAAATCAAGTTTGATGATAGGATATTTATGTATCCACTAGTGACTCGTTCCGGCTTCGCACGGATGCATTACAAATCTTTAAAGTTCAGCTTGTTCTATACTATAACACGCATGTATAATACATACAAACCTTTCTCTTGATTCACTCTATCTATTTCTTAAAATGTATTAAAGTCTGTTCAGTAACCTACCCATATACTTTAAAATATTTAAGCGAACCAACAACAGAATCGATTTAATTTTTTACTGTGTTAAGATTATTATACAGAATTTAAAAGGTTTTTTCTATGCAACCGTCGAGTTCAGCTATTTTATTAAATTACATTTATTTCGTAGCGCTACGCCTACGAAAGCTACGCCTATAATACATCCGACGCGCATTCGATCCGTCCGCCGGCTTTTGTACATTTTATTTAGGCCAAAACTGTGAATAATATTAAAATACAGTCGACGCTTAATAATTTGATATTTATTAATTTGGTTTTAAATACGGTTAATTGATAGATACTCGATACATTTCATAAAAATAATGAATTGTTAATTATAATAATATTAATTGTTAAAACGAGGTTTGCGATCAATATTCAGTTTGGCTGATAAGCCTGCTTTTCAAATAAGTATTCAAAAATAATTGATATTACTTTTTATATTATTTATTTTTATATTTACTACCTACTGTCTGTATGTTGAGTAATTGTTAAAATTGATTAATTATTGTGTTTTTCAATATTTATTTTGGTCAGTAATTATACATTAATTATATACGAGTATATGTTTACTATGTTATTTACTTATATATAAATGACACTGTTTCTGCTATCATGAAAAGTTCTGAGGTAACATTTCTTATATTTATTTGTCTCGTCAATAATTTAAAGTTGAAGTATCGTGGACAATATGAAATGCTTTCAAGTCTGGCTTCTTTGCTCTCTATAATTTGAAACGTTCATCATGAAATGATAGGTATGGTGCATGCTCTCGTTTCATGATGATCATTTCGTTTCGTTAGTTTACAGTGCGGATTACTTCGGCTCTCACCACTGTCTATTAGGTACCTATTGTAGATATCTATTATTATGTCTATTACCTATATTAAAGTTTCGTGTGTTATTAAAAACATATTTGAATGAGAAGATTTTATGAACTAGAAGGTAAGTCTTAAATAGTCTTAGAATATTCCAGCTGCATAAATAAATAGGTTTAAAATATACCCACACAGATTATGAAATTATACTATAGGTACTAATATGATTATAAAGTAAGTAAACTCCAAGAGTACTCCTTCAATTTGCGAATTTCTTTAACTATTTAAAAGATACATTATTTTAGAGTAACATATTTTGTAAATATGTAGGTATATATAAAACTCATATAGCCACAACGACCCCAGCGAAGGATGGCGAGTCACCAGTGCATAATAAAATTAACAAATGGGGTCCAAACTTCATTTCTAATAGTTAGTCGGCTTTAATGTGTTTGTTTAACTCTAATATCGATGTTTTACGATAGACATTTTGTTTTCGAGGCTTTGTCGTAAAATGCGAGATAATTAGCCGTTTAAAAATAATTTATTGCTATGGTAATTAATTGTTGGTTGTGGTTATTGTACCGTCGATTTTAATGTCTATTCCCAATAACGTATAGTTATATATTTGTTATGACAATAGTAACGGCCTACATGATGGAAAATGCGAACTATCACTTATAGGTAAGTTATACCATATAAATATAGTAAATTTAATGGCACACATAAACAAAATCGCAAATATTAGTACCTAATAGGGAAATAGCTAATAATACCTACAAACATTATAGTTACTTATACCTTATAGATATGATAAGGATGGATTTTTCTATACAAATAATGTATCTCTCAATAAAATAATAAAAATTCTTACTAAGGTGCAGTTAGGATATTCTGATACAAATTTATCTGGATTTCTTACTAATATTTGTAGATAGGTACTGTAATATAAAATCTGAATGTTTACATTTATACAAGTAATATTACATTATTTCCTCTAGGTTTGTGTAGGTTATATGTTTACAATATTACCTACTTACTTTCTATATATGTATATAAGCTGCAGTTAAACGAAAATTTAGTTACCAAATTATCTGATTTTTCTAAAATATGAAGATACTTTTTACTATAATCTAGTATCTAAATATTTATATATTTTTACACTGTTGCCTATTATATCAGGTGCAGGTATTCAGCAGGTAATTCAGATATTTTGTCTAAACATGAGCTAAATGAAGAACCAAATTTTGACAACTGTCAAACTAACAAACTTCGCTACGATGGGCTATCCAATCTGATTTCCACCTCATCTTATCATCATCCTTTGATGCTCCGCAAAGTTATAACATTAGTGCTGGAGGGTGCACCATTTTATTATCAACCGTAAAAAAAATATGTAATAAGTGGCATGCTTTGCAAAATGTGTTTCAGTTAAAAGGTGAGGTAATACAGATATTTCAAGGTACGACTTACAAGATTTTTCGGAATGACAATATGAAAGGTACCGGTCGTCACGTGATGGCGTACATTCCGTGATGCTGTTCATGTTTATAGGCATAATTAATTTCTAATCAAAGATATTTATTTCATTTTATATTATGTTATTTTATGTTTATTTCATTTGTATATTATTTATAATTTGTGTGTAATTTGATGTATCATCGTCATTGCTTTACCTTTATCTTATTATTTGGGGTCGGCGCAGTATGTCATTCTCTTCCACTGATCTCTATCGGTCGTCATATCTGAACATACCCTCCTTTTATTCCTATCATCTTTCACATTAATCATCCATCATCTTTTAGTGCGTCCTTTCTCTTTCCATTCATCCACGTTTGAAATTTGATATATATATATATATTATTATTATGCACGTCTAATATCATTTAATTTTTTTTTATTCCAATCATCTACTACAATCTAAAGTAAATGTAGGGATGTAAAGTAGATGTAAAGGGACGGGACGCCCTAAGAAAAGATAAATGGATTGTATGAAAGATGATATGAATAAAAGAAGAGTATGTTCAGATATGACGACCGATAGAGAGCAGTGGAAGAGAATGACATACTGCGCCGACCACAAATAATGGGATAAAGGCAAGGCAATGATGATTCCAATCATCTACTACCTACCGCCATTTATCTTTTCTCCTCTACCCAAAGGTTATCTGGAAGAGACCATTTAAGGGATAAGACTACCTTTTTTTACCTCCATACTTTACACATAAATTATGTTCATTAAATTCCAGGTGCAATAGAGTATTACTTCAAAGAATCATTGGTTACCACCAGATCGGGCTAAAGCATGTTTGCCATTCAAATTACATAAATAAAATTATGCCTACGATTAGATATATGTAGATCACTACGCCCAAAAGCAATGTGTTGTACATTACGACTAAGATTATAAAGGTGATAAGATACACATAGAGGATAGCGTTTGATATTAGGATGGGATTTGACATGAGTCACAAAGCGATCTAGTCAGTATGCCGCAACACGACACCGGATCTCTGTTAATGGTGGATGCGTGTACCGCGCCCTCTTTGTAACATGAACTTCGTTTATTAGCCTTATGTGGTCGAGTGTGTCGATCATTGGTGCTTTTACCCTGCTACTAGAATAGAGGAATATAACGGTCATTTATACAAACAGAAAAACTAGGGAATGTT